TCTTAAACACGCGTCTTGGAACATTCAAGATGAACAGTTACTTATAAACAGAAACAACAGAAATCTCAAGTGTTGTCTGCATGTGTGATGTGCATCCATGCTAAGAGAAGTCTGAACACCTGTTGTCTAAAATAGCTGCCTGCTGCACTCGAAAAAAGAACCAATGGGGTTTTTTGACTCACAACCTGAAAATATGTCAACATTAAATAAATGAATTACGTTGTCTTTAAGTAACTGGTTTACGTAAAAAGGACGGAAATGAATGAAAGTGCATTTCAATGAATGAAAACTCAGAGAGAATTCTATTCCAAAGAAACCCAAATAATTTTCTATGAAATGTTTCAGTTTTTCTCCATCAACAACCGAAATCTGTGCTCAGGTAAAGTCTATGTATGCTGACTCTATCCAATTAGATAGAATGGAAATTTGTGGCATAATTCAATTAAGTTCATACCACTCTTTTTTTGAGTGTGCGTTTAGCTGTACAGTGAAGTTTTGTTCATTTTTCAGTTCACAGTAAGTCATACTGTGTCCTAAACCATATCGCTGACAAGTCGACAACCTTAATGAAGAGCTGGATGTGGTTTGAGAAGTTTCAGAGAGGTATTTACAGCAAAGATTTAGGTGACTATTGACTCCTAGTGTTTCTTAGCCTTGTAGCTCCAGTGCTAAACTAAAAAACCAAAATTTAGACACCAAACATGAAATGGTTACAAATATGTTGTCTGATGTCTAAGACATATTTTTTAAATAAGCGTTTGGCCTAAAACATATATGTTGAAATCTTTTAACAGCCAAGGCATACATACAAGTTAATCTTCAGCGAAATATTGCCTAAAAAACCTTCATTTTTCACATTTGCCACTATCTTTGTTGACTAAGCACATCTGAAATAAGTGGGAAAACTGTTTAAACTTGATTTTTTGCCATTTTTTTCCACATATTTATTGCCACTCGTGAAAATCCTGCTGATAAAGCAATAAAATAGCTTTGGAATTGCTTGCTTTATACAATAACAAGCACATGTGAGGAAAATTTTTAATTACCAAGGTCTTATGCTGAGCTGACAGTCATGTTTCACTGACATATTTAACTGACAGTTGACAGTTGACTTACAATCATAATTAGTAAAGCACTGACTAATTAAAACAGTCAGAATCTGTTCAGTAAATAAAATTTGGCTAACATCTTTTTAAGCTTCTTAAAATCTGTATCAGTATCTGTGACAAAAATGTAATCTGTTGGCCTCCGTCACAAACACCCAGTCTGTTCTCAGGTATCAAAGGCATCCCTGCCAATGACATGCCTGTCCGAGACCCTTTGAGCTTGTGGTATGTCCTCACCCTCTCCTAATGAGTTATGAAGTGTGATCAGATCTCATGGACACACACATATTCCCAACAGATGGAGGAAGAAGCCCCCTCAAATCCTGGTAACCCCCAGTCTTTGGGGAGGGGCTTGTCACCATTCATTTCCCTATTCAGCTGTCTGGAGATCTCCTCTCACCTTTCCATTGGACCCACCATACTCTACCAGCACCTAAGCATACAGTGGGGTAATTGTTACCCCCTAAAAAACAAAGAAGCAGCTTTATTTTTCCCCACGCCAGCACAACTGTGGTCTACTGTGAGTGAACCGTTATCTAGAACCTATCATGGCACCAGACGTGGCAAGAAAAAGAAACAAAACGTACAAATGGTGAGGGTTTCAGGGAAAGAAGCAATCTGAGGAGCTTTAGAAATAAAGCATAGCAGTAACAAGCCCAAGCTAACAGGCAACTGTGCAGACCACTCAATGAATCTGAATGGGACAAAGGCCCTCACTGGCTCATTGTGTAGCAGAAACCTGCGGAGCAACCACACTCCATCTCGCTCACAGCCCTCTTCATTCAACTCATTAAGAAAAGGGAGTCTTGACTAAATGTACCAATTATGCAGCTGCTTCAATTGGTCAGTGTGAAGAAAGATAAAAAAAAAGGTTCTTACTCGAAATGCTGGACACAGCCAAGGCCGCAGTTGGAGAGCACAGTGAATGGTGGCTGGTGAAGTGTCCCAGCACAAGGCACACAACAGCGGCTGAGTCCACGCCTTTCTCAAGCATTTAACAAGCACGACTCTTTCAGCCATTTTGCTCCACCTCATGAAGTGGATGTGCCTTTTTTCTCTTTAAACCATTCACTGGCTCAACCTATACAGCTCCAATGTGCCTGTATTGTCTAAATGGTGGTTTACTGAAGATGATTACTAAATGACTAAATTAGGTACTTCTACCAAAAGTGGTCTAAAATAGAGCTAATATAATTACAGTTACTGTTAATACAGTGATTAGTAGCACCTAGCTATTAGGTGTGCAACCAATTTACAGTATTGTGCGATAGGGCTGCAACAAACGACTAATGTGACTAATCTGCTAGCACAACTATCTTACCGAGTTGAATCCTCTTCATCCAGTGATCCGGCGTGTTTCCTCTTCAGATGCTCCAGCATGGAGGATGTGCTCCCATGCCAGCTAAGGTTGGCTTTACAAACAGTACAACACACAACCTTTTTTTTTCCTGAGTTTAGTGTGAAATGCTCCCTCACTTTTCAGGATTTTGTTCTTGAGGCATTGCACTTTTGTTAAGTCTCCAGTAAGCAGTAGTGTCAAAGCATTTGCGAGAATATACTTCACTAACTAATTGACTATCAAATTAGTTGCCAACTAATTTGGTCGTCGATTTTAGTCGACTAAGTAGAATAATCGCTGCACCCCTACTGTGCAACAGTCAAAAGGCCATCCTACATTTACATAAACATATAGAGATATTTTTGGAGGAAATTAGCCATAAGATAATCCACTTGCATAAGGAAAAGTCTAAAGAAAATAAGAAAAAAATCTAAAGAAAAATAAGTGAAAAAACAGGAGTTTCCAAACCTGGACAATGCTATGGGTCTGAAAGGATATGTAGGTGTTAAGAAGCTGTTACTACAAAAAAGCAAATATATCAATAAGAAGAAAACTTGCAAATCAAGCAAAGAACCATGGACTGACCACCTCAACATCACTGAATGTGTTTGAGATTACTTGGATTGTGAGAAGACTGAACTGTGGAGGTGTGGAAAAATATCACTGCTGTTTTCTTTGAAAAACTGAAATTAAGTTGTCTGAAAAGAATGGAAGCAGTAACAAAGGCTGGACACTAAATAATGGAAATTTTGCTATATTTAGTTGTAGAGAATTTTGGGTAATTTTCTGTTGAACATATGTTTTCTCCACTTTATGACATGACTTAAATAGGACAGCACAATTTCTAACATGGCCATAAAACGGAGTTGTATCTTTCTGGTATTAAACATAAAACCAGAAAATTTTCACCCACAGTAAAATGAAACCAGTTAATTATTCCACATCCTTCATGCTGCCTCTGACAGATAGCTAAAGTGACAAAATCCAACGGGACGTTAAAAATACAGCACTGACTTCCATTACACTAATCACATTAGAGATGTAAGGGAGGGAAAAAAAATGAAATGGTGCCCATTTTATATGTTGAGAGAGTGATCACAATACGCCTATTGTAATGCCATTTGGACTGGAGCTTCTTGTCAGTGAGGGGGAAAAAAGAGATGGTGGGAACTTCTTGTGCAAAGATCTGCGATGAAGGGAAAAAAGGCACTCGTCAAGTGCCTTGCTGCGATGCTTGGATGTGGATTTGGCAGCGATTTGCACAGTCTGTGCATCATCTTACTCCCAACTGCTCTCGAGCTCCATGCCAGCTCCCGTCGACTGCATCCAGTCATGGCAGAGCCTGAGAGACAGCTTGCTTTGGACCCTGGTCTTGGCAAGTGCACTGTGATGGTTGTTTGGGACAAGACTTATTAACAAACCTCTGCTAGCCCTGAAATACGGCCCCGAAAAGCCAGGTCTCTTGGCAACTTCCTATTACTCATTATTATGAGAAAAGAGAGGCAGCAAGATGGTCCAAACCTGATGAAAAGACACTGACTTTTCCAACTCCTACTTCATGTCTGGAGTAATATCACAATCAGCGTTTTAAGAAAGTTTTGCGTTAGCAGGCAGAGCTGAAGGACCTCCGGGATGACCCTACACAGCTTCTTCTCCTCCTCTAAAGCCAAGAGCAGTCAGTCAGTTCGGAACCCGCTCCCCGCCACACTCCTCCCTCTCTCCAGGGAGACCCGGGGGCCAAGTTCTCGTTTGCTGGAGCCCTGTGTCAGCTTTGAGGAGCGTGTTTCAACCCATGCCAACTCAACTTCACCACAGACAAAGTGTGATTTCAATTAATATGTAACTATGTGAATGTTCACAAGTTTTAAATACAAGAAAGGTAATACCAAGTTCTTCTATTTGGTGCTACTAAATTGGCAAAAATGAATGGTGATACTGAGAAACAGAAAGGGAAAATGATCCTCAGCACACAAGCTGGAAAATACAATAGGGCCAAATGAGAGGACACAGCAGCCACTTTTCCTTCACCTTTTCTTCTTCTGAACCACATTTTCACACAGTCAAACTAAAAAGGCCGTTTAGTCGAATTAGGAGCCATTCATCATACAAAACAGCTCAAGATTGGGACACACTGTAAGCGCTGTTAGATCCTGACTGTGTCTAATTTTGAGGCAGAACCCGCTGCTTTTAAAATAAGCTCCCCCGTAATCTCTCTGTTACCCTGGAAACCTTTTGTGGGGTGAAGATGAGGACAGCCAATAAAGAGCAAATCCCCTTCAGCCGTAGGACAGCAGGTAACTAATAACTCAAGCACTCCAATCCAAACAGAGCTTCCTTCTAAACTCTCCAAAATGCCCAACAGCTCACCATAGTATTGAAGTCACTTTCCAAAACCAGTTGTTCAGATTTACAACGACTCTGATTTAGCTTAATCGTATGGCCATTATCAACAACAATCAGGACTGAAAGCTTGAAAGCAGTCAGTTTCTGTACAGTTTGCACAAAAAAGACCAAGAAAAAGCCAGTCACTGCAGAAAAAGAAAGTGTAGTCTTACCTCCATGAAGCAGGTTCCTGCTGCAGTGTTCTCCTTAAGGGATGCATTGTAGAACTTGCTTTCAAAAATAGGTTCATTGTCATTAATATCCTGTAGGATGACTTTGACCACAGCAGTGGAGGACAGAGGGGGTCTTCCCCTGTCTGTAGCCACCACAATCATGCTAGGAGTGGGGTCCATCTCGTAATCCAGTTGGGTGAGGGTAGTGATGATGCCAGTAACAGTGTCAATGCTGAACCAGTCTGAGTGAGTCTCTAGAGTCTGTAGGATGCTGTACTGGACCTCCCCATTAGGGCCCTGGTCTTTATCTCGTGCTGTGACCTGAAGCACAAAGCTCCCTGGAAAGACGACTTCTGGGATGACCTGGGTATATTCCTGTTGGTCAAACAAAGGTGGGTTGTCGTTGACATCCGTCACCTGGATAGTAAAAGAAGACTCGGCTTGTAATGGAGGGGTTCCGGAGTCTGTGGCCATGACCCTCAGTTCATATCGATCCCTTTCTTCACGATCCAGGATCTCATCTACACATATGAGGTAGATGATGTTGTCTTTAGTGGTCAAGGCGAACTTCCCATCTCCTCCTTCCAAAGACACGTTGACATTGGCGTATTCACCATAATCTGGGTCTGTGACAGAGATGCGAGCCACATACTGGCCAGGTTGTGCTCCCTCTGATATGCGTGGTGAGCCATCTTCGCTGAGGAAGATGATGGTCATTGTTGGCTGGTTGTCATTATAGTCCCGCACATGTATGGTTACAAAGGCATTGGTGACCTCAGGATGTGTGGCATTGTCCCTTGCCTGAACCACCAATTCGTGAACTCTCCTCATCTCGTAGTCCAGGGGCTTGTTGAGAGTTATTACCCCGGTGCGGGAGTTAATGACAAAGTAGCGATCAGGGTCACTTTGCCTCCTATTGATTTCATAAAGCACAAGGCCATTGTCACCCTCATCAGCGTCTGAAGCAAAGACTTGCAGTATGTTGTTACCTGGCTGGAGGTTCTCCAAGATCATAGTATGGTAGCGGCTCTGGTTAAACACTGGAGCATTGTCATTGATGTCCTGGACAGTAATGTCTAGGATCATCTGCCCAGTCTTTTTGGGAGATCCACCATCAAAAGCCTCCAAAAGGAGGGTATAGGATGATCTTTTCTCCCTGTCCAGAATTGCATTGACTACTAAGTCCAGATAAAGTACCTGATTGGAGCCCCTTCTGGTTTCAAGAAGAAAAGCTTGTCCCACATTCCCATCCGTTATGATGTATCCTTGAGTTGTCAGCTGGTCTTTGTCGGCATCCAAAGCTGGCTCAAGAGGAAACTTTGTGCCTATGGTAGTCTGCTCAGGGATTTTGAACGTGGCCCGTTTCCTGGGGAATGTAGGAGCATGGTCGTTGATGTCATTAACCAAAATGGTCACCTCCACTGTCACACCGGTCATGGTGACCGCTATGAAATTGTAGTGGTCCCGTACTTCCCGATCCAAGACTTTGGCTGTCTTTATAATGCCTGTGCTCTCGTCAATGTCCAAGTCTGTACCAACACCTGTTCCTTCATGGTCTGAGATGAAATAAAGAGATGCTGTGACTCCTGGGGGCAAGCCAGCACTGATGTCACCAACAACAGTACCAGCTGGTTGCTCTTCATCTAGCTGGAGTTCCAGTGTACCCGGCACCATAGACGAGTAAGCCGTAAAGAGTTCGAGAACTACGAGGAGCACAAGTAGCGTCCTATCCCACGTCCTGTCTCGATAGATTTGGTCCATTACTGTCCTTCCCACTCCTGTCGGTGCTTTCTTCATTTCAGCTACTACTTAAAAAACCTAAAAGCAGAAAAAGATGATGACATTAGCCTGAGAAACAAAGACAAACCATGAAACAAGATGAAACAAGACACTGAAAAATAGCTTGGAAAAATCTAATTCATACGATTTTCCACTTCCACCCCAGACGTAGTCGATCAGCCCAGACATGTTTGGTGTCCAAATTTTGCTTCTTTAGTTTGGAGCTATGAGGCTAACATTGCCAGCAAACACCAGAAGTCAACAGTCACCCAGGTCTTTTCCATAAATACATCCCCAAAATGTCTTTCAACCTGCTCAAACAGTATTCATGTCTTCATTAAGAAGACATGTTGATGTCTGTTGACATGGTTTATGGCACAGTATGACTGGACTATAAAAATCAACAAATCAAAGAGAGCAGCAATTTTAGGCAACAAGGCTTGTGCCCAATTTTGACTGCAGAATCCGATCCCTTTTTGCAGGCCTATGGATATATAGATTGAGATTTACCATGTCTGTTGTTTCTGAGACCTTAAGGAAAACCTGGATGCAGTTTGAGCGGGTTGAGATAAGCTTTGGGGATATCTTCAGGGGACAGAAGAGATTTGGGTGTCTATTGACTTCATGTTCGTTAGCATTGTTAGCCTTATAGCTCCAGTGGTGAACTAAAGAAGCATAATTTAGACACCAAACATGTCTTGGCTGATTGATTATATCTAGGAAAAGTAGAAAATTGTGTAAATTTGAGTTTTTCACAAACAATTCCTTTATCATTAAATTTTCATAATCAGCCAGCAATTTTTCTGAAGGCCATATGTAGGCTTTGGTAAAGTAACATCAGGAATACTTAAGAAACATTCCATATGTTGCATGGGCTCGGTTCCTAACCACACAGTGCACAACACATCCCTCATACACATATTCCTGCAAATTATTCTCACCTAATAAGTCAACACCTCATTCCTCTGACCATGAAGAACAGAAACCGCAAGCCCACTCTACAAGTCCAGGAAAAAGACAGCAGACACCTTTATTGCCCCTACCTTCCAGTCAAATTGAATAAGGACAGGTCCTGCACTCCCGCCAAGGCAGCTTCACCGTGCTTGGCCTGTAACTGTACCCAGTGGTACATGTGGACACAGAGCTAGCGGGTGTTATGGAGACTCCGAGACCTGACAGATTGTTGACACACACTCTCCGGCAGGGTGTGAGCCCTGATGCCGAGAGACTGAAAAAGCCTTTACAGAATTGACTGCTCCCACTGCAGCCATTCCTTTAGGGGTGTTAACTTGAGGAATGTCCTCTTCCACCAGCCACTCTGTGTAGCGAGAATTAGGGGCCTAAAACAGAGAGTGCTGCTCACAAGAAAGAAAACAACCTTTTCTCCAAGGGTGCTCAACTGAAGTCTACTCTAATGCAGATGTACCGAAAGCCAGGTCAACAAAACATAAGAAGTATTAATGCCAGTCATATATTTATGCCAATCATAATGCATTAAGTAAAATGCCAGTTGGCCCACCGCAAAGGTACACTCTTGAGTGCACTCTTGGCCCCTGTAAACTCCCCAGTACTGCAAATTAGTGATTTCTCATCCATAAAATTGTGGCCTGTGCGCCCACAACCCTTTGACGACCTAGTTGTTCAACGTGTGAAATGAAACCCTTTCAAATGATTCCAGGATTAGTTCCAGCATGATAGTAAATATGTTATAAATACTACACAAGGCAGGAAATTAAATATTTATACATGCTTAGAAGATTCTAAGTCTTTCATTTTTTACCTTTTGGTAGAGAAGAGCAGCTCAGCTAAAAAAAGACAAGCTGGAAAGTTCAGATGGTTTTCAACTCAAGTTAATCAACTAAAAGATCCGATAAAAATGAATGAATAATGTATAGACGCATCCTGGAGAAAGTTTAACAAACTTCTAGCTGAACTTTCCACCAGATTTGCTTAGGAAAAAGTTTATATTAGGTTGGATCTGCTACTGTATACACACAGCACACAGCCAAAACCGAGTGCGATCCAGATGGAGGCCTTTTTGGGTGATCGCTCATGCCACTATTTATTAAGAATTATTGCCACTACTATGGTTCTTAGCTTTAGGGGCCTATCTTAAATAATCTCACTAAAACTACTTTAATTCTTCCTTCAATATGAAAGCAAAGAATAATTCATTCAGCACCTGAAAATGAAGTTTAATTCATCCAGCACTGAACTCAACATAAACACTGATGATACATGGGCTTTTAGGGAGAAACTGTCACCATCTGCAGCCCCATACAAACCCACAAAATGCATTAAAGGCAATCAGAAATAATTGTGTGTCATGCTCAATCAGCGGAACAGAGTTATTTCAGGGCTTTGCCATTCAACAACAAATTTATGACCACTGGGTATAATACAGAAAATGTAAACAGAATGATGAATAAGCACAAAGGCTTTTTCCCCTCATTTCTTTTTAATGCTGAAACCAAACTAGAGCAAACATGCAAAGCTCCCTCCTGTGGCTCCTGCAGGACTTGCTTCAAACATTTTTTTTCCAAAAACAGTCTAAAAGTTGAGCTTGTGTGATTTGCTGTAGCAGAGAGAGATTATTTTAATGATTTTATGTGTGCTTCTTACAAGAGATCATCCAGAGTAAATAAACAAGCTACTGCATGTACACTCTGCATAATGGGATATACTTAACTCACCTTATCCATGGGAATAAGCACTGTATATCAGTGGGGAACCCTAATGGCCTTCTAGGCTTTCAGAGAAGGCCTAATGATTTTTGGGAATCAAAAAAATCATTAATTAAAATCTGTAATTTTTAGTTCATTTTTGTTTAAGAGGATCATCACGCTTGTTGCATTTAAACTCTCCAGGTTTTGTAGCAATTCTCCGCACTTATGTCACTGACTGAAACCTGGATACACCTGATGTCACTTTCAGTCAGTGACATATCTAGAACTTCCAGAAGGCCTAGAGTGACCAATGAACCAACCAATCATGTTCTGATTCACAAAGGGGGGGGACCAATGTTGTGAGAGAAATGTCACTCTAGGCCTTCTGGAAGTTCTAGATATGTCACTGACTGAAACATAGGTAGACCTGAGGTCACTTTCAGTCAGTGACATATCTATGACTTCCAGAAGGCCTAGAGTGACCAATGAATCAACCAATCATGTACTGATTCACAAAATCTTGAAACAGAAAACAGCGCAGTTAGATGTTTTTCTCAGTAGTGTCTAGGTAGATACTGCCAAGCGAGATCTCCAATTGGTTAGGCCTTGTGCATTAGATTAACTACCAACATAATTAGGAAGTGACCACTGAACCAACCAATCATGTTCTGATTTACAATGGGTGGGACCAATGTTGTGAGAGAAATGTCACTCTAGGCCTTCTGGAAGTTCTAGATATGTCACTGACTAAACCTGGATAGACCTGAGGTCACTTTCAGTCAATGACATATCTAGAACTTTCAGAAGGCCTAGAGTGACCAATGAACCAACCAATCGAGTTCTGATTTACAATGGGTGGAAACCAATGTTGTGAGAAAAATGTTAATCTAGGCCTTCTGGAAGTTCTAGATATGTCACTGACTAAAACCTGGACAGACGTGAGGTCAGAAACAGAAAACAGCAGCAGCTCTGTGCCAGGGCTCTTAACTGAAAGAGTCAAGGTAAAATGTTTGTCTGCTGTGAGCTTCAACTGAAAAACAACAAAAGTCTTTTACCAATCAAATGTCTGTGTTTAATCTAAAACAGCCAAAACATGTACATGTACATCTGTTAGCTTAGTGCTAACATACTATGAGAAATCCAATAAGGGCGCTAGCAGAATTTAGCATTAGTGTAGAGGTGTTTTTTTTTTCTCATTTCTAGACCAAGTCTACTGAAATGTATGCCCTGAATTGAATGCCAAGTTCTAGCACTGAAACACAGATTGTTTTATGTCAAAATTGCAATTCAAGAGTACAATTTTCAAAGGTGGGGACATTAAACCTAATAACTCGGACCTTGTGAACCAATTAGAAGCAACCAAATAATCACTTGCAGTGTACAACACAACCCCAACTAACTGGCAGTCAAGCATTCAATCCTTAAGCGAGAAAAAGTGGATATGATGTCTTGCCCAAAAACAAGCCTATAGCTTAACTTATAGAAAATAATCACAATTTAAATCCACATCACAATGTTGGACACAAAAATCACTAATAGTCTTTTGTGTTTTTTACACAATTTGAACATTTCATGATTAATGGATAAACAGAAAATCATTTGGAACAAAATATATTTACATGAATTTACATTAAAAAAAGGTAAGACTTTTTTCTTTTACTGTTAATTTACCATTTTGGAAAACAAGGTTTTGGTTTGACAGAGAAGGGATTTAAAAGTGAATAAGTACGCTGTAACAAGTGGAACAGGGTATTGACTGTTTTTGATCATTTACTTGGTTTCACCCAAAGCATTTATTTGAGTTCAGTAAAGCCTGTTAAACTGCTTGTTATCACCTAAAGTATTTTTTTAGGTTGAACTGACAAATCAGTTTCTTTAAAGTAAGTTTTTTTTTTTTATAAATCAGTTTGACAGTGAGCATGTGCAAACAGTGAGTCCTTCTACACTATTAGCCATTTCATTGCCATGAATCCCTCAGATAATTGTTTCATTTGCAGGAGTAAATTTTTAAAGTTTTGGTTCCCCAGTTTTAACTCAGTGTTTACTTTTCTGTGTGTTTATTGCATATATAAAATAAGTTACAGTGTGTGTGTGTGTCTGTGTGTGCATATGGAAGTGCTTGAGTGACAGACCTGTGCATGCTGTGTGCCTGATTGTGGTGGTCTGTCTACCCAGCGGTGGTGACAGTACGCGTGTGTGCGAGTGTGTGTGAGCTGGAGGGCTCCACACAGTCTGGCCTGCCCCTCTCTGGCTCTGCTGCATTGTAATTGGGGTCTGCTGGAAGGCTGCCCTGTGCATATGGGAATCCAGCGCTCATTTCAGTCTGTCAGCATCACAGTGACTGAGATACACACACACACACATACGGAAACA